AAAAGACTCTGCTCTCCCAGAGGTCATTAAGCCTGAGCATCATTCAATCACAGCAGAACAGGGAAGCCTGGTGAGCAGAACAGCACTACAGCGAATTAGAAATTTTGCATTTTGTTCTATTTTCAAAAAGGAAAGCTAAAAGAAAAGTGAAAAGCAGTGAGGCAAATATGTTTTCAGCTACGTCTCCGGTAAAAGATAAAAATATTGTTGATGTAATGTCCCTCGGGTTGCTATAAAGTCTCAAAGGATCATCACACAGGGCAGTACGGACAGCTTTATGGCCTCTTCAAACTATTCAACTTCTTTTTTTAAAGCTTTTTTGTTTTGACATGAAAGGGCCAGCAGACACAAAGAAGACGCACAGCAGTCGGATTGGAAAGGTGCAGCGTCTCACATTGTTTTAGTCACAGTAGGAACACCTTGATGTAAGGTGCTTTTTGTGAACCGACCAATCACAACACCGAATGCGCTGACAACACCTTACCCCCACATTCCCCTTTTGCACCACATTAAATGAAAGGGTTTTCCCCGTGTCCAGAGAGCAGGGTTTCCCCCAGGAAATTGATTAGTGGAAGTGGTAACTGTTAAAAAGAAGCCTTTATTCTCTACCAGCACATACAAAATGTTCTGATGATGGAATTGGCGAACTAGGAACTGCTTGTATAAATGAGGACCTTTAACATTAAAATTGCATCGTTGGTGAATATGAAATCTCAAGTTAACAACCCAGTCTTTGAATAGCAGAAGAGTTCGTCTCCAACAGTTCCTGAAGAGAACATATTCTCTATTTATTCCAACATGTGACATATTACCTTGATTAATTGCTGTAATTAACTACTGTAATCAATAATTACATAGTGAATATTCAATTTGTAGACCTGGCAGATAAATTACTGTCATGTACTAGGCTCAGTCTGATCATCATTTCTTTTGGAAAACAAATCTCGCTTCTCCAGAAGTCGGAAGTTCATTTTCCCATCTACTTACAGCTGCTACTTGTAATGTGAATATCATTTGTGTTTTCTCTGCTGGAGTGTACTGAATGCATAGGCTTTTTCACAGATTTGTAGAAGGATGGTAGGAATGTTAAAAAATATTAAATTAAAATATTATACCGATGTAGACAAATTACCCCTACTCCACCTGTTGTGCCACCCACATTAGCGACCCCAGATAGCTTAAACACACAGGCAATATGGTTGAAATTAGTTTCACAATATTAATATTTTTCCAATATCAGTATGTATGAAAACACGGGAAGGCAAAATCACATAAAATAAAACTGAATTTCAGCTCAGTGAGCAGTTGATTGTTTTGCAGGTAGTTTACAGAATAAAAAACTATAAAAAAAGAAGAAAAAAATGACTGACACCGAATGTGGGGATACTTCAAAGTACTTCAAGGCTACTGAATGTGTACCAGAATCACAAGGGCAGAAAAGGCTGATATACAGGCTGCAGTGGAGAGTGAGGAAAAGCAAGTGATGTTTCTCTGCACCACACCACTAGAAGCAGCTCTGATGGAGGCAATTTCATCTTAGCAGGGGGGGCAGCAGAAGCTATGGACTTGTCCCTGATCCGCTCTGGATTTCAGAGCATCACCCTTGACTTCTCTCATATGAAAACAACCCCCGCTTCACTACCTAGTCTATGCCTCAAATACATAAGGGATTAACAGTGCCAGTTAGAGTAACAGTTTTAAAACAGCATGCTGAATGGCAATGAATAAACATAAGGAAAAAATACTGGATTATTGAGTGTGGAGAGAGAATTCATGTTGCTTCAGTCTGGTATACAAGCAGTAACAGCTGACACATGAACGTTTGATATGATGAGAAATGGGATCAAACCATGGGAGTTTAGAAGGTGTGCATTATTTCCATGGTGCAAATGATGGAGACCTTGCTATAGTTTAACTGCACTACATCTACATGAATCCTGCTGTTCAGCCTGCACTGTACGTTTTGAACAACAGCAATATGAGCAAATTAACAAACTGAAGCGCCTTGTTAGATGAAATAAAAGCCAATAGTCCTGTTGGTTTGCCACAATAGTCAGCTGAACACTAAAAGCTGAAAGCGGGTGATTACACTGACCCCAGCCACTAAAAAGATGCAACAGCATCTATTCAGTGGATATTGATCCACCTTTCCCCCTGTCAATTACATGTGATAAACTGCTGTGACAGTTAGGGCAAATTATTTAAATGATTCTGTCCTTTTAACCCCCACAAACCCTGGACAGACAGATTCAGCTTCACGAAAAAGCGAATACAAAACAAGGGACGAATAAGTTTTTATTTTTAACTGTGATGACCTCGCCGTGCCACCTCTTTCACAAGAAAAGTGAGCAGCAACAGACTGAGCCTCCACATCAAGTAGCCATTGCAGATCAGTAGCATGTCCTAATGGGGGTGGTTTCATTAGTGAAGCAGATGAATCAAACACTTGGCCAAGTGTGCAATTATCCGTCTCTTGGTGGATGGAGGTCATTAGGACTTTATGAGCGATTGGAGGCCATAAATAAATGATTAGTAAACAGCATACTCTATACAGCAGAGACAGCAGGTGACTCTGCATGATATCCCCTCTCAACTCATCACAAGATGATGCAGACATGCAAAAGAAATTCTATTTTGAGCTGAAGATGAAGTTGTAAAATGAATGTATGTAAATGGCTAGAACAGGAACCTTTTTACTACATGTTGCATACAGATTACACCGCGAAATTAAGGGTTGATGGGTGAAATTGAGGAGGAATGAGATCCAACTTTCCAGCTTTCCTACTTCTATTCCCCCCAAAACCTGGGATGTAGGACCACCAGCGCTTTCCAAACACAACAACACAAAAGGTGGTAAATTATGTTCTTAGCAGCAGAATCCACAGAGTAGACCTTAAATGTGCCAAAGAAAACGACAGTTGTTTATAAAGTCTGGGCAATGTTGCATCGGAGGTGGTCTGTGGGGATAAAAACCTGGTGAGTGGTCTCAAAGAGCAGAGAGGGTTGCCAAATGTTTACACATTTCAGCAAGTTATTTGCATTGTCCGCTGGGAGACAATCAGCACACAATTCCCTCCCAACAGGATTACAGAGATAAGATAGAGCCTAAATGGATTTTTACACTCCTAACAGGGACTTGTTTACAAAAGTTTTAACAACTAGGAGGTACCCAGGAGGAAGTGGTAAAAAAAAAAATAGCAGCAGTTTGGCTCAACTTTTACAGGTTATTCCAAAGTAAAACAAAATTAAGACTATCTATTAAATCTGTCCCCAAACCGAATGACACAGACAGGAACTCCTTAAGTTAGGGCTGCAAACTCTGCCAACTTTGATAAAAGATAAGTTCTGGCCACAATCAGGACCTCAAAGAAATGTGTTTTGAATAAACAGATATTTTCGGAGAAGGGGACCCCACAATTAGTAATTTGAGACTCTCTCTGCGTGTGGGTCCCAGTCCAATTCTCTGGAATCAATCAAAGCTCCCAAAGGAACTCCCTGGTCCCCTTAATCTCCTGGTTTTATTACTTTCCAGACAGTCGGCCTGTTTTACCCTACCCCCATCTCTCTCTTTTGTACTGATCTCCAGCAAAGCCAAGGAGGGGCTTTTTTTCTCTCTCTCTCTCTCCTTCACTCCCTCTCTATCTCCCCTTCCACCACTGCAGAGCGCTTTTCATGCAGGAGAGGGTCTTTCATCAGGCTTCACACGCAAGAGAGCCAAACAGCTAGCTCAGGCCTGTCACTCCAAAGCCTGTCTTCTTTATACATTCATTCCTATTCCTTTTGTTTTTTTAAAAACAACAACATTTCAAAAAAAAGGTGCATGGACTTTTCCTTTCCTGACACACACACACACACAACTATTTAACATATCACGAGAATGATGGGCAAAGAAAAAACTGGGCCATGTTGCACAAGAGTCAGTTACATTCACAATTTTCCAGACCACATGCTGCTGTGTTTGATAGCATCTAACAGCTTAAATGATAAAGATATGACTGTGTCACGATGGGGTATGTGATAAGGGCTGGAGCTGTGCACTCCAATGACTGCTGGAAAGCCTTTTTTTTTTTTTGGACTCATGGCTCTCCAATTTATCTCAGGCACTCATGGCTTTGAGTGCTTATAACGGATTGTGGTGGGTTAGGCTGAAACACACAGACTCTAATCAGCACCTCTAATATCAGTGGATTTCTTCTCACTACAAAACACCCACCACCAGTTGGGAACAAACAGAGGCAGAAGTGCACACCGCAGTGCAGAGCCCCCTCACTTCAAAACAATTAACAGAAGCAAATGAATTGGGCTCTGTTTATCCATCAGCTAAACATGTATTGACGCCAGGGTAATGAGATGTCTGCTGGACTGATGATGCCAGCTTATTACCTGACAGTGACCACTAATGACTCTTTGCATAGTGTATATATTTTTTTTTCTCCAAGGTCCTGCACTCCTTTGCATTTCCACGACCACATACCGGGTTAACCCTAACCCTAACCCCCCCAGCATCAAGCACAGATAAGACTGATGATCCCAATTTGAACAAACGCGTGTGTTATTTGACCTTTCGAGCCCCGATGCGCACAACCCAAAGGCATGTTGGTGAGACACCTTATACCGCATGTGTGCGACTCATCTGAAAAAGACAAACCTATCAGCAGTTCTGCCTCAAAACTGCCCCAATGCAGACAAAAGGAGAGTAGTGGGGGGAAAGCATGTTGCTTTAATGCCTGAAACAGGGGGCCGGATCCGGGAGTCAAATAGCGTGCCTGTTATAATAAGTTGCCCACTTTTAAAGTTGTGTAAACGGTTAAAGAGTGATCCGACCTAAAGAGAGCAGATTTGGCTGCCTAGCTCCTTCTTCTCTGAGCCAACAGCTTGCATTCCGTGGGGTTTTTTTTTCTCCTTCCAACTCGTGATACAATGTAGGTAAGTTTGTTCAATCGAGGCGTAAAGAGGCAGACGTAGAGCAGAACAAGTAGCAGAGCATTAAAGCCCTTTACCTTTGTCGACATGCTTAGCCGCCGCGGTCTCGGTGTGGAGAAAGGTGAGACAGAGGAGAGAGAGGAGCGACAGAGCTCCCCGCTCGGCCATCACTTTTCACAAATAAATCTTTGCAGGCTTCAGGAACCCCCGGAGAAGCTTTTTTTTTTTATTAAAAAAAGAAAAAGAAAAAAAGGAATCCTTAAAATCCACCTCCTGTAAATGCACAAGGAGAAAAAAAACCAAAAAGTTCAAAGTCCTAAAATGTGCAGAAACATCCGGAGCCAGGTACTTTTAAAAGTGGCCGGATGAAACATGTAGCTGGAAGAAGAAAAGAAAAAAAAAAAAAGCCGCAGGTTAGAGAGACTGTTTTCTCAACTTGGTCGAGGCAGAGGTCGGAGAAAAAACACTGAAATCAATCCATTGCCACGGAGGCGCAGCGCAAGGACAAAAAGATCTGCTGCCGACTGAGCACCAACGCGCCGACCTCACTACTCCGATATCTGCCAAAGCGCGTAAAAAGACAAGAAAAGAGCCTCAGTTGGAGAAAAGATAAGATCCGACCAGAAGGAGAAATCTCCGCCGCGGCCAGCTCACTGCTCACGGACGGGACGTAAGAGAGCAGCGTGTTTGAAGGGCTGGATCTCCACTGGCTCCCCGGAAAACAGGGTGTGGAGTCACACGGAAGTTTGGATCCTGGCTGTTTGTGTGCTCAGGCAAAAACTAAAATATGGTGTGGAAACTCAGTCCAAAGACAACTGCTCGTCCTTGTACCACAGGTCTACTGCTGTGCTTAGATTATGAGACACCTTATGCAGCATTAATAACAAATATGAACCCAAACACACATACTACATATATTCCCATACGATTTCAGTCTCATTTAAACTCAGTTACAGTTTTTTTTTTTTACATTTTAACAAGTTACAGAACTTATGCTGAAAGATAAACATTGCCAAACTGAAAAAAAAAACTCCAAGGAGATTTGGCAACACCCCTCTTTTAAAGACATTTCAGATTCTCAAAAGACTTTTCTACCCAACTTGAGTGACAAATATTCAGAATTTTCAAAATAAAACATAAGATTTATCACTCCAAGCCACTGTTATTTCTTAAACCAAACAAAGATGGCAGCCAGAAGTGGCTTATCTCCTTCCTTGTATCTATTATATAATAAAATATTGAGATATAAAGATATAAGGCTATTACAACTGTCTTATACTTTTATATGTTAATATTCTAATCCAGCATTTACATTTTGAGTAATTTAGTAGTATCAGACAAGTAAACAGTTCTTTGGTTGAACTAAAGATAGATAGATAGATAGAT